TGTTAACTTATGGATGTATGCACTTAACATTCTCTTACACAGTCAGCATCAAAGGTACACCACACGCCCACGCAGCGGCCCGCCACACGGCACATGTATGCATGCACAAAGAGCCCCACATACACAGTCTCACTGTGCTGAAAACTCACAGCGATGCTCGGGCGCGTACATCACACACAGAGGGGCAGGAGTATAAGTAATTTAGCACAGTGTGACACTTTCACGGTCTAATTAGCCCCAGTGTTGCAGTAAACACGTCCCAATGACCCTCCAGTTCTGGTTACTCATTAAGTATAGATGGAGCCGAAGATGGCCAGAACCCTGGGACAAGTATCCAGATTCAGCCATCATCATTAGACAGAAACCAAACGAGGAAACCCTTTCCTTTTTGGTTATATGTTGTTGTGGTGTGCACGCAGGGAGGGAGGGGGATGCAGTATGTCCATCTCTGATCATATTCACACACACACACACACACATGGGTTCATGCACGACGGTGTGTGTACATGTTGACAGGAGTGTGTGAAGCAGATTCAGGGAAAGCTCCAGAGAGATGCTGCGTGCAGAGAGACAGACAGCCCTGTTGCTGCTGCTGCTGCTGCTGCCTTTGACGCGGTGATGGGGATTTTCCTCTTCCTCGCTCTCCCTCTCTCTGTTGCGGTAGCAGACGTGGCCAGCGAGCTGTGATCAAACTGTGCCTTCATCCCTCCTCTCCCTCCTCTCCTCTCTCTCTCATCAGCTGGAGGGCTTCAGCAGCAGGGTGCCCCAGATTCATAGACCACCTCCCTCCTCCCATCCAGTGCAGAGGCTGCCTCCTCCTCACTGTGGAGCAACACTGACACCTTCTGGACAGGAAACAGGAACACAGCGGAGGACTGTGAGGAGGGCCTGCTGGGTTGTTTCAGATGTGGGATTTTAAGACACATTCTCTTTGTAAACTTCATGACCTACTGTGGCCATGTGGTAAATTATGGCAGTGATTCCAAATCTGGGGTACCTGTACCTGCGGGTGTCTTTCTGCAGTTGCCTTGGGTTTAAAGGTTCTGTATGTGACATTCAGAGCATTAATATTGCACCTCTTATGTAAAGATACAGGGGCAGAATGCTGTCCTGGGCAGGGAATGAAGTCACACTCCCTCTGTGGTTTGTTATGGCAAGATGGTCCGGCTCTGTGTGCATCCCATAAGGCTGTCACCTTCTGGCTGGCTGGTAAATTAGTTTTTGATATACTCGTCTGACCAAATTCTCATTGGCCGGACAACCAGTGGTGTTACATTCATAATGCCAGGCGCACTTCTTAAGACGAGAAACCAGAACACCTTGGAGGAATCTGGTTACTAAGATATGGAATATCTGCAGAAGTAAAAATGTCAGCACGAGGTAGAGAAGCTGCTCTGGGTGAACGGAGGGCTGAAGCACATAAGCCGGCAGTATTCGTCACTTCATTAATCGTCCTCCTGTTGTTCAGCTCTCAAACATGATGTGACGGTTGGTCTTTGTGGTATCTGTCCCGCCCATCCTCCACTGTGATTGGGCGGCTGAATAAAAAGTGACACACTGGCGTATTGGCATTAATTTAGCTTGGCTTGTTATTTGCTGGTAACTAGATTCTTGCAGTCCAAACCGAGGCGTTCGGTGCCGTTCACCAACAATGGCTTTAATGCAGTCTTCGCCACACAACAAATATGGCCTTCTCATGAGGTTACACAGCCTGAGCTTATCTAGACACTTAATTCTGCTGCTATCATCACTCTTTTACGCACTCTTCACCATGACACACCCGAGAACAAGCTGCTACCCACCACACACTCACAAGTTACCCACAAGGCCGCCGCCCTTAAAGTGCTGACACTATGAATAATAAAGAAGTATGTACTCACCCATCTTCTCAGTGGTGACTCTGAGACCACAGCTGCTGGGTGAGTGGTTTGTTTACATGATGTGATGGAGTTTTATATTTAACAGATGCGATGCGGCGCGAAAATCTGATGCTTGCATCTAGTTAGGAGGTATTATTGAAGCAACATGTAACCAGTGGCTGGTACCTGCGGTTATTCCACAGGCTAGTTAATAACACGTCGGGCAGGAAATCCAAAGTGTGGGATCATTTTGAGAAGGTGAAGGACGAACCCAAGGTGATATGTAAACTCATCTTCATTGGTCGACTACAAACATGACGTATCATCTGAAACATGGAAGTAGCTACATGCCCATTAGCCCACAGCGTCATTAACAGGCGGCTCGCTCAGTGTGTGACGTGCACTTGTAGATAAAATATAGGCCTATATTAATGAAGGTTCATTAGTACGGTTTTGTGTTTCTCTGTAATGTAGCACAGTGTTAACAATGTTACTGATACTATTCTTTCTCACACCTTCAACTCAAACCACCAAAATATATCATTTAATCATTACATTAATATCAGAAACATGTGGGAGACTAGTCGACTAATGGCTCTAAATGACGACTATTGATCGACTGGGATAATTCTTAGTCAGGGGCAACCCAACTATATTTTTTTGCGCACTCCTGTTAATAATTGATATCATTCATTTGGAACATACACCAATCAGCCAAAACATTAAAACCACTGGTGGATGACGTGAATAACACTGATCATCATGTTACAGTGTAGTGTTCTTCTGGGAAACTTTGGGTCCTGGCATTCATGTGGATACAACTTGATGTGCTCCACCCACCCGAACACCATTGCAGACCAAGTAAACCCCCCTCATGGCAACGGCACTGGTTAATGGCAGTGGCCCCCCAGCAGGACAATGCACCATGCCACACCACAAAAACTGCTCAAGAATGACCCCAGGAATGGGACAAAGAGCTCAAGGCATTAACTTGGCCTTCAAATACCCCAGATCCCAATCTGATCAAACATCTGAGGAATGTGCTGTTGCCCCAGAGGTACCCTCGATCCATGGTGGGTCCTCCTTGGACCAGACTTGGCTCTGACCTGTCGAGGCATGGACACAGGACCTCTGGAGGTCGTCCTTACTGAGGAGTGCTGTTGCCATGGGGGGGGGTACCTGGTCTGCACTGGTGTTTAGGTGGGTGGAGCATGTCAGGTGGCATCCATGTGAATGTCAGAGCCCAAGGTTTCCCAACAGAACATTGCATTGTAACATGACGATTAATGTTCACTTCACTTGTCTGTGGTTTTAGTGTTTTGGCTTATTGGTGTATACTGGTCATGGATGAAGGGGTACGTCAGACCAAAAGGTTGGGAACCACTAAATTAAGACAAAGAAAAACAATTAAAACATCAGTTTGGGTCATAAAGTTCTAAAAGAGGAAATTCAACCAATTATCCTTTCAATTAATGCTCCTTTGATTACTGGCTGCACTGCTCAATAACCCCGATGGATCAATCAGGGGTTGAAGCAGCTGCATGAGGACAGCGAGGGAGGAAAGAAAACTGTACATCAGCGCAGATCCTGAATCAATACCAGTGTGAGGAGTTAATCTAGTGAGTGTCCCTCTGGCAGAAAGCAGTGACTGAAAGGTTGAACAGCACAGCAGACCAAAGAACCATTATCAAATAGGACCAGCTCAGCATGTTTCTCCCAAATAAGCCACTTTTTTTTTTTTTTTCTCGAGGAGTGTAGCCAGGGTTCAGCAAACCTCAGGGGTGACTTTGGGTTGAGCACTGTCAGAGACTTTCTGCCTTTGTACACTGGAGTATTATGTAAGATCATATCTGGGCTTTTTTTGCGCACGCTCGGCCAAATCCAATCGGATATTTAAGTTCTATGCAAAGCTGCGATATTTTTTTATCCAAAGCTCTTAAGTCTGAGAAAGGGAAATTAACTTGACTCAAGCTGAGCGGTGCATGTTGATACTGTAATCACCGCAATGCACAGACACTTCCTTTTTGGGCAGAAAGCCTTTTAAAGAAACACCACTCCACTCAATGTGAGACTCTCCACTCTGTTTTCTTACATGTAAAAGCGATAAAGAATTGTTTATGTGCAGGTTTGACTCTCTTCAAATGATACAAAGGAAATCTTTAATCAGCTGTACATGCATTGGCACAATGTCACGTTTTTCTTTTTTACCTCGGATGTGAAAAAAAAGAAACTGTAATGCATAAAAAAGGTAAAAACAAAGCAAACTATCAAAAGTTGGACTCAGTGGACGCCACACAGGGCTTCACAGACACTTTGATATCATGTTGCAGGCATCTCTCTTTACAATACTGTTGGCAGGTTTGAAATATGGACGCAGCGCTAGAAATATAAAGCACCGCAAACACAACACAAAGATCCCCTTCATTCAATTATGATACACACACATGAAGAAGGTTCGATTGGACGGATTGTTCACACACAATCCTGCTTTTTCATTGTACGGTAAATAAATCAATACTGAGGAACATTTTTTTACTGACAGGAGGAGGAAACCGAGGAGAATAAGGAAAGAAAAGTGACAGTTGAGAGGGAGGAACACAGACAGGTAAGAAGAAAGGACAGAGAACAGGAGATACTTTTGATTCAGGTGTAACATTTACACTGCGGGACTTAATAAACAATCCTTTCAGCTATTTTATTCACAGCACACACAAAACGGGCTGAATTAACCAAAAAAAAAAAAAAAAAAGTAAAAATGGCACAATGAGCTACACATTTGAGGCAGTTATGAGGCCACCACCACAAAGATGCTGTCCACACCTGTGGCAAAGAGAAACTTAAAGGTATTTTTCAACCTGGAAAATATTTTCTCATGTTTTTGTGTCTAATGGGATCAACCATTTCTGAAACTGGTCCAGTATTGAGCGAGACAGACTTCGGTGTTACCAATCAGGGCAGTTATAAGTGTCACTGACAGGCTCAGATTATTATTCTGAGTATCTGACAACATTATAGAAAGGATCCCTACAGAGACAGACCTTTGTGTTAAAGAGTAAGATCCTTTTTGTTTAACCAGAAACAGCTCCAGCATTGGCATCACCACACCAACCAGACTCCATTTAAACAAAATGAGATTTTAGCATGCATAGAGGCAGCATGTTTTCACATCTAACTGGTGAATTAAGGGTTAATTTTAAGCAAAACAGAGTTGGTGATTGTTGAAACAGTTGAAAGAGGAACCAAGACAGTTTCTGTTAGTTTTATTTTGCTTCTGTCGACCTTGAATGAAGTGTGTTTTATGATGATAAAATTACTGTACATAAAGATGGATAACATGACAGCTCCCAAAAAGCGAAGCCAAAACATCTCGATCACCTCCTGGTGGCTGGCTGCAGTATACCTCATAAACTCCATCCCTCCACGTTAGCTTATGGGACATGGGCCAAACTAAAAACTCCAAGAACACATCAAATAAATTCTTCCCAAAGATGTTTTTTCTGTTTTAGGTAGTTCTTATCACACTGATGTCTGATCAAGTGTTTGTTTTTCTAATAAGTATGGTTTTAACTGGTATTTTGATGTTTGCTAACAATGGCGCTGCTCGCAACTGATTGGATGGATGTATGGGCAGGAACTGGCAGAGTTAGCTACTGCGCAGTCTCTGGCTCCAAATAACGTCACCAGCACAACATGGTAGTGGCCATAGCCTGGATATTTTGGCTTCATTTTTCGTCTCAGGCATTTGTGGATAAGCAAACTGCTAATGCTCATTAACTGCTGCCAAGTAACAGCACATGCAAATAGACCAAAGGCCTAAACACACCAGCAGTGAACACCATGCATCAAAAAAGTACTCCTGGACATGCTGCCCTGAGGCACTTCACACCACTGTCCTATTTTCAGCCTCACCACCACCAGAATGAAATGCATTATTTCCCCACTCGCTCTCCACTTGTACATTCTAGCTCCAGTAGCAGCTCTTTTTTTCAGCACCTGTGGCAGCTCCACGCCTCTCTTCGCCAAAGATGTATGAAAAGAACTCTGTAGCTGCTGCTGTCTCGTGTGTGACGAAGAATGGATAAGGAGAAACTTCTTGTTGAGGTTGAGAAATATCCCGAGCTAAACAACCTACAGTCCCGTCATTGTAAAGACAATTGCCAAGAAGATATTGCCAGGTGAGTCACAGCTCTGGAGATCGGCTCTACATGTGAGAAATTAAGTTTAATTAGAAGCTGTTGGCACATGATTTGAGCTAACGCAGAGGTGAAGGAAGTGCAGATCTTTCAGTAAAAGTAGTAATAACTTTATGTGGTTATTTGTTGACAAGCTGCAGTGGGACGCGCCCAGTGTGTACATGGGGCGGCACTTGAAGCGTGTCTCATGACGTGCCGCAGAGCCTGTCAGTGGCAAAAACAAGCACTTTAAATGGACGTACACTGACGGTGCACACATACCCCGAGTGGTTATGTTGCAGCCTGTGTCACCGCTGCCGGCTGCCGCCCTGTCACTCAATACTGGACCAGTTTCAGAAATTGTTGTTCTCATTAGTCACTTAAACACAAAGGCATGAGATAATAGGATCTGTGTTTAAAAATGCCAAAGTTCCCCTTTACGCCTGGGTCCTGCCTTCTACGTTAACAGTAGGCACTATCAGACACATGGCAACATGATCAGAGACGGAGGGAAGAATCACAGTGAAGACGAAACACACAGTCATCTCTATATACAGGCCACCTCCCATTACTGTATCCTCAAAATACAGTTGTAATGTTTGTCTTAGTGTGGGTGGGGCAGCCTCGGCTTGAACTTAAAATACAGTGCTGTGAAAATCACACTAAAGCATCAAGAGATCATTCAGCAGAGAGGCTCCCCGAGTGGGTTTCAACACTCCCCCGGGGTAGTTTCATCTCATTATGTTCACAATATAATCATTTACTCAAAATTGATTAATCACTCTGCAGCTCCATATTGACACTTGTGCAATTTTTTTCTAACTAAATGAAACATTTCCTCAAACTGGGGTCCCTGGGGATCCTAATACAGATTTATTCGGCTCGATGGAGCATGAAATTCAAGTCTAACCGGTGCGTCCTGGGAGGCGAATCAAACACACTGCTGACAGCATCCTCACCTGGATGCTGTCAGCAGTGTGACAGCATCCTCACCTGGATCAGAGTTTGTCACTCGCTCCTTCATTGACCCGCTTCAGTCCTCCTGGTGCTAACACTGTACAGAGTAAGGCTTCACTGCATTGATATTAAGAGTTCAGGTTTTTTTTTTTTTTTTTTAATCCCATCAGCCGAGGCATCGTCTTGTCACAGAAAGGCACGCGACTGAGCTCTGCGGTTCAAAGTTCGCTCCAGTTCCTCGCACTTTGTTGTTTTGTTTTTTTTAGCAGCACTTTGCATTGCTCTCCGTTCCAGAGAAAATGACACTTTGTGACCTTGTCAGTAATATCAACATACATACATATTTACAGAGAGGATCGTCTCCTTAGACAAGAGGGGTCAGCTGATATTTGTTTTTTGTTGCTTACACACGGAGGAGGTGACGTGAGGTGTGTGTGACTGTACATATGGCAGGATTGTAGAGAGAAATGGAGAGGAGACAAAAAGAAACACAGCAGAGATGACGGTCTTTGTCTTTGTGTGTGTGTTGAAGTGTGTTTTTATGAGTGCTTGATCGTGTATTTGCCTTTCAGCAGCTGCGAGATGTACAGCTTCGACTTGGTGCCATCCAGTCGTTTGAACCACACCTCGTCGTTGTTGATGGTGGTGATGATGGCACTGCAGGACACAAACATACAACAGCGTCAGAGGTCACCATGGTCATGTTGTCATCATGTCTTTACAGGGGAAAGTGAACATGGAAAATCTGAAGTTGTGGAGATACTGAGAATTCAGGATCAGGAAGTTTTTACAGACGACCAAAGACTACAGAGAAACAAGCAGTACTTTCTAAAGAGCATGTAAAAAAAATCTTAACAAATATGTTCACAGAGTATAAATACCAGGAATATCATTGATCAGGTCGCCAATTAACACCAGCGTCCAGGAGACTAGATGTATAGACAATGATAACCATGCAAACGCCATTTAAAAACTAGAATTATGGCCCCGTTATTTTATGACTCTGCACACCAGTCATTTCTGGCTTACAGGTGTCACAAGAACTGATAATTTGGGACCAAGTTGATGCCAAAATTCTGAGAAAGTGACTCATTTTTCTTCAGCAGTGTTGGTACCAGGGAACGCTGGATTTGGTGTTAATGCAGCATTAAGGCCTTTGCACACCCAGTCTGTGTTTCTCATCCAAAACTGTTGAAGATATAAAATAAATATGACCTAAAACATGTAAATCAAGTTCACACACCAACTCTGAAACTTTGGTCCGTCATTTTTTGCCCTACTTTCAAGAAGTGAGAGGACCACATTCAACAATCAATCATCCTCACTGCTTGACAACTCCATTTTATCTCGTACAGCGAATTTTTGCAAGAAGAAAATTGAACAATTAAAACGCATGAGACTCACACAGGTTTGATTTAAAAATAACATGGAAAAACAGAGACTCTGTACAAAGACCTTCAGTTTCAAAGAAAACTAAATAATACGGCAACATTTTGGATTTGAAGCCGACCAAAGAGGTGAGCTGAAAAACAGATGAGGCAACATTTAAACACTGCAGGAAGGAAAATGTGGCTGCTGAGTCAAGTGCGACACCTAGTGGTAAAATCTAGTATACCGGTCTGGTCCATCCATCATCCATCCATCCATCCATCCATCCATCCATTTTCAACCGCTTATCCAAAGCAGGGTTACGGGGGCAGCAGGCCAAGCAAAGCACCACAGACATCCCTCTCCCCAGCAACACTTTCCAGCTCCTCCTGGGAGACCCCAAGGTGTTCTCAGGCCAGATGAGATAAATAATCCCTCCAGCGTGTTCTGGGTCTGCCCCGGGGCCTCCTACCAGTGGGACATGCCAGGTACACCTCTAACAGGAGGCGTCCAGGAGGATCCTGATCAGATGCCCAAACCACCTCAACTGACCTCTTTCGATACGAAGGAGCAGCAGCTCTACTCCGAGCTTCCTCCGGATGACCATGCTCCTTACCCTATCTCTAAGGCTGAGCCCAGACACCCCACGGAGGGAACTCATTGTATCCGCAACCTCATTCTTTCGGTCACTACCCCAAGTTCATGACCATAGGTGAGGGTTGGGAGGTAGATGGACCAGTAAATCGAAAGCTTTGCCTTCTGGTAAACTGATTTACCGGTTTGGTCTTGCTCAACTCCTTCGTGGCAGTTTCTTGTTGCACTAGAGTTACCCTCAGCTGCTGAGGGAGGGTGGTGTGCTGGGAAAATATAAATGCTCTTTTCACTGAGCGTCCTGTCCTGTCCTGACACTCACAGAACAGAATGCAGAATCACAATCGCTCGGCCTGATACCCACAGCGTTTCTTTGTTTAAATCCATCCAGAATCATTTCCATTACAAATTAACCCACCGTGTGACCGATCCGTCTCACTCACAATGAGTCAGACAAACACTTAAAGATGAGTACACACATCATTCAGTGTCATAACATGTGCTATAACAAAACCCATGACGTCCTGTCATTATTACACACACACACCTAGTTGGGTACTCATCCTTCCTGTTGATGCAGATGGCCTGTCCCCTGCAGTACCACTGGTTGTCATAGAAAAGTCGACCGTCCTCGAAGCGCGCCACATGGTGATGTCTGTCGGGCTTGACTGCAGGGACTGGAGGGAGACAGGCAGAACACATAAAGAAAGAGGACAGGGACAAGGACAGACGAGCAGGTAACATTTGTCTCCTTTAACTATGAACTTGAGTAGTTTGAGCTCAAAGTATTGAATCAGCCCCTCCTGTGTAGCTGTGGGTCGATGGCTGTGCTCAGCCAGATATCGACTGTAACTGAGGACGAGCAGAAACTCTTACCATCCACCTTCACCCTGTGTGGCCCCAGTGAAGCCATCGCCTGAGGGGGGAGGAAACAGACACAAGGAAAAGGTCAAATCACAACTTATTCACAGAGTGACTAATCTGTCCCTCTCTAAAATACCTTTCTTATCGCAGTCCAGTCTTCAAGAATATCCAGATCCTGCAGCATGTAAACAATATAAGGCCGTGATGGAGCAGTTAAGGAAACAACATACAGTTAAGTGGCAGGAAACATCTGTCTGAAGAGCTGTGGCGAGATGGGGTGCAGATGAATGATGGGAGGAATGAGACAAGGACAGGACAAAGGGAAAAAGGATATCAGAGACAACAACAGGCTTCTTCTTCTTGACAGGACAGAACGGGTCTTTCTTCTTGTTTTTCCGTGAGTGTAATCCATCATTCCACAACTCTGGAAAACAAAGAGGACAGATCAGAGAGAGGACAAACACTGGAGGATATTCCCTTAATATTTCAATCTGATTTACATATTATCAGTGCAACTTGTCTGTTTTATTCTTGATCAAATCTGCAGTGTTTATTCATTTAAGGGACAGTTTGGATTTTATGAAGTGGGGTTGTCTGAGGTACTTATCCACAGTCAGTGTGATATTTGCAGTAGATGTCAGTCAGCACACCATCAGTTTGAAGAAGCAGGCAGGAGTACCGGCACCTAAGCTAAGTAATGTGCTGCTGTGGGCGGGGACAGCAGCAAAATGTATTGAAGTGTGTTAAGTGTTTGCTACATTTAGAATATTTTCACAGCTTTGCCTTGCTGCTAACAGCCCTGTCCAACAGGGCACTGTAGCTGTTAATGGCTTCAGTCTAAACTCTTGTCAGTCATCAGATTCCATTGACAAATACAGTAATTCTAGTTTACTGAACACAGGAGCTGCTGGTCTGCTGCTGCCTCGACTTGGCCCTTCACAATAGTTTTTTTGGATGATATACTGACCCTGAAATAATTATGATAAATGATATTAGTGACATTTTGAAAACATAATCACCACCTGTTAATCTCCCGTGTAAAAGAGATCGTTGATCTCAACGGGACTTACCAAGTTAAATATGGGCTAAATACAATAAATAATATATACAAGAAGATATATCTATAACATTATAGTTCCTTCATAGGAGTAGTCCAAGATTACTCATTACTCAAATTAAATTTGGCCAACAAAAACAAAACCAAGTGACTAGGACAAACTTAGTGAAGCTTCGGGTTAAGCCTAGTTCACATTACATGATTTTCAACCCGATTTTGCGTCGCGGAGACTATCGTAATCTTTTGAATGTTCATACCTGGCGACATGTGTTTCTGTCATCGGGAGTCTTGCCAACTGCGTTACGACCTGTATATGCACACCACAAGATTTCTCCGCCAAGCCCTCGCCGACAGAGCCCCAGAAAATGCGATGACGTCACCAAACTACATTTTTTAACTTGGAGACAACAAATTGTAAAGGCATGGATATTCTTCCCAGTGTTGAATCAGATCTGCCTCCAGGGCCTGGGTCCAAACACAAAGCGCTCCCCGTGATCCTGCGGAAGCCGCCATTGTTGTTGTTGCTTGCCGGCTTGTCGATGTTGCCAGATCTTGGGAGAGAAACAAGCAACCAGGGCTATGGAAACAAGCCCAAAAGAAGCGACGGATATATATATATATATAGAGAAAGGCAACGTTTAGAGAGCAAGCCCAAATAAGCAACTCCACTTTAGACACAAGTGCAAAAAACCATAACCTACGACTACCAATATTTGTAAGCGACTTTACAAAAAAACAAGCCCAAAGTCGCGGCTAAAAAGCGGACCTGGCAACCCTGCGGCTTGTCCTCCTGACATTTCTTCCGTACTCCTGCGTGCTGACGTGGGACGTATCCCACCTCACAATGGCTGATGCTCTTTGTCAGAAGTGTCAAACTTCTCCACTTTTCTAGCATGCCAGATATCCAGTCCCAGTCGCAGACAACTTGCTCGTAGGCTTGTTCACACATGAGGACTCGTCATGGCAGACTATCTGCCGACTCACCTCCGACCCAAGGTGGCTCTCAAGATCCTCTGCGACGTCAAAATCACGGTCAAAATCGTGTAATGTGAACTAGGCTTTACCTCCGTAATGCTGCCAGTGTGCTGCAGTCGCCTGAGAGTCAAGTGGTTTGCTGGTGGATTTACGGAGCTGAGGATGAAGCTGTTGAAGGATAAAACTACAATGATCTGACTTCTTGGCTCGCTGCCAGGGGATGGGAAGCTAACAACCATTAGGACAGTGTGTCCTCCACTCCAAAGGTGCAGCTGCAGGCCACTGGTGAGCTACACTGTGTTGTCTCTCTTCATTTTTCCTTGGACTTTTGTAAGATGGTGTGGGTGAAGAGGAAAAACAAAGGCAGATTCACTACACCTGAGTCTTAAAATGGTCTGGAAAACCCTGCCGTTTGTCGTGGCATCATGTTGGCTTAAATGTAGGTGACTTTCTTAACAAGCACACATGTTAACACAACAAGCAACACTGAGGTCAGCGGAATGATCAAGATCATGTCCAGATATCCTACGATAAGCTAACTTTATTTATAATTATTGTGACAGGCCTAGCCTCAATCAGTTAGTTTGTGTTACTGTGTGACGTGAATCTGAACTAACCCACAATAACACAAACTACTTGATGAAGGCAGCAGTGGACCAGCAGCTCCTGTGTTCAGTGATGTTAAATTATTAATGGAGTCTGGCTTTGAAGAGAGAGATGTAACCACCTCAGTTCCCCGTTGGAAGTAACTGTCTCATGGTAAAGTGGTTAAACTATTCTAAATATAGCGTACACTTAAGCTGACACTGATTTTTTTAGGTGTCTAAAATAGGTTTTGCTGCTGCCCTCGTCCACAGCAGTACATCACTTGCTTCTCCAAACTGAGGGTGCGCCAACCGCTACCTACAGTAGGTACTTCACTGACTTTGGTTAGATACCTCATACAACCCCACTTCAAGAAGTCTACAACAATTCCTTTAACACCACGAACAGTGCAATGTATCTTAGGTATGTTGTAATATACAATCAATTTGAAACTATATAAACTGACTTCTGTGGCCAGGATGTGAGTGTGACGCCCAGCTGGTACCTGAGGTAATGTCAATACTGTGTCTGTCCTCCTCCAGTCTCCTGATCTTCTCCTCCAGTTCACTTTGTACAGTGTCAAACAGCAGCAGCTTCTCACTCTGGAGACAGAGACACAAAGAGGGACAACATATATCAGATGAAGAAACAGAAATAAATGTGTTTTGAGGTGGAAAACACAAACCAAATGGTCACATCGGCCCCGACTCGTTCATTGACCTCTCACCTCCCAGTGTTGGCAGGCGGCCTGGATCTCACACTCATACTTGTTCTTCACTGACTCCAGACACAGCTCCCTGTAGATCCCTGTGATGCACATTTAAACAACAAATCAATTTTAGGCAGTAAAGGTTATATAACTGTTTTTAATCACACCTTTAATAGTCCAAAAAGCTCATTCCATTTTGTTCCATGTCATTAAAGACACCTGTGCTCTGTTCAGCTTCTCTTCCAGTACAGGGCTGACATGTAGTGTGTTGAGTTTGTGGCATCAGTGCAACATGTTATATGATGCGCGTCAAGTGCCTCCTCTAGCACACACCAGGTGCATCACGCTGCTGCTCATCAACAGACGACGACGCAAAGTTACTACAATTTTCACTTTAAAGGGATAGTGCACCCAAAAATGAAAATTCAGCCATTATCTACTCACCCATATGCCGAGGGAGGCTCAGGTGAAGTTTTAGAGTCCTCACATCCCTTGCGGAGATCCAAGGGGAGAGGAGGTAGCAACACAACTCCACCTAATGGAGGCTGATGGCGCCCCAGATTCAAACGTCCAAAAACAAGCAAGTACAAGCGCACACACGTGAGCGCAGAACACAGAGAGGCAGTTAGAGCTACAGGCTACAGTGAGGCTAAAAACAGAGTTCAAATGACTTTTTTCCAAACAACATTTTATGTCGGGGCTTCAGGACACTTGGATCACTACAGACGAGCAGTATGGAGATATTTTGTGGTTTCAATTATGTGTTTTTGGACATTTTAATCTGGGGCGCCATCAGCCTCCATTAGGTGGAGTTTTGTTGCTACCCACTCTCCCCTTGGATCTCCACAAGGGATGTGAGGACTCTAAAACTTCACCTGAGCCTCCCTCAGCATATGGGTGAGTAGATAATGGCTGAATTTTCATTTTTTGGGTGCACTATCCCTTTAAGATCTGTACTTCCTCCACCTCTACATTAGCTTAGAATTACATGTGGACACCGACTGATTAAAACTTTATTTCTCAGCTAAAGAGCTAATCTTCAGAGCTGTGACTTGCCAGTAGGGATGCACCAAAATGAAAATTTGTGGCCAAAGCCGAAAAAAAATAAAAAAAAAAAAAAAAACCGAATACCGAATGCCGTTATTTAGTTTTTCATTAGTTTTTGCAGATGAACCACCTCCAGATTAATGTTGTCACGGTACCAAAATTGGAACCCACAGTAAGATACCAATGAAAATATCACGGTTCTGAGTAGTATCATGATACCACAGCGAAAATGAGGCAGATGTGCCTTTTGTCATTTATGAAAAGATAAATCACTTTTCTATTATAGGCTACATCAATGATATTTCAGTGGAATAAATTACTTATTGACTTATTCATACTTCAAAAACAGCATCAATAAGTGATTAACATAAGGGGGATCAAAATAAAATAAATAAATAAAATAAAAATCAACCAGCCACCCTCCTCCCCTGACAGTCCCTTCATAAGTAACGAACAGTCCCTAAAGTGCGGTGAGGTTTGTGGACCGTTACTGACACAAAGACAGAAATGTGAACGGCTCGTTTCTCCTCTGACACATCACATACCTGTGTTCGGCTGGCTCAGCTGTTCAGGTACTTCTGGGCAGTCATGACACCAAGAAGAGGATATTATTGGAACCGACTTCTCGGTCGCCCAGTAAGCCAATGGCCGCCGTAATTGACAGGAATACATTACTGTCTGTGTCTGTGACCCCCGTTCAACCCACAATCGATGGGATTCGCCTTTTGTTTCTGCTGCTGGTTGAAATCTGTAGGCTGCTCGCACAGCATGCTGAATGATTTAAGCCTATTTTGCTCGCTCAAAACTATTTTTAGTCGCAAATGCGAGTGCCGTGACGGACGGATCGCCACACTGCCGACATTTTATTCCGCCGAATACTGAATGTGTGGTTTTTTGCAATATTCGGTTACCCAATATTCGGTGCATCCCTACTTGCCAGGCAGTATCTTTTTGGCCATTGTCTTTATAACGACAAGTTCGTGGGTCATTTAGCTCAGGATATTTCCTAACCTCAACAACAAGTCTCTCCTCATCCATTCTGTCACACACAAGACACAGCAACAGCTACAAAGTTCTCTTTATACATCCATGGTGAGGCGAGGAGTCGAGCTGCCACAGAAGCAGAGATAAAGAGCTGCCACGGGAGTTGGTAAGGATCTATCGCTCTGTCTGTCCTTCGATTTTCTCAAAAACCCGCCCATCGACTTCTCACTTGGCCGATATCTTGCTGGAGACCCAAGGAAGTGTGGTGTTGAGTGCGAGCGCTTGAGATGTATGAATAATATTTATTAGCAGTGTGTTGCAACCGGCAGAAATACACACTGTAGGTGTACTAACTCTTTTAATGTTTATTTTCAATCTGCACTCAAGGCCAAAATTTAAAAAAAAATCTCAAAATATTGCAACAAAACTTTGAGGCTTGGGAGAGATGGCAATGTATTATGCAACTAAGTGCAATGGAAACAGATTCAGCAAATAAATGATGACGTACAGTTGTTGCATCGTCCACTGCAGTGTCTCTTCGATATAAATACACACACGGCTGTTAGCAGAACTCTCCCGTTGTCCAGTGTGCTCTCTGTTATTAAACATCCACAGTTTTCCCTTGTTTGATATTTGACTGGTGCTCCTTTAATTGCGTCATCTCCTTGCACAGTCGTCTTCAGCAGGCACCAGACTGGAGAATTAGCACCACCTGCTGCTTATCTCCGTGAACCAACTCCCAATATTCACACAACAGTAATGTATGGAAAAGCACATTCATTTTCTTTTGCAGAGTTTCTTAAATTAAAATTTGCACTACAATTGGATAGAGACCCGACTTGTGTAGGGTATAGGGAGGGGACCATTTTTACCTGTTAGAAAAGGGCAAAAAAGCACAAACGAATCCTTTTAAACAACTCTTTTAGTGTCAAATATGTACCAGGTCGGCCTGTCGAATATCTGAGTTCTCATGACTCCTTGACTTTTCCCCCTCGCCCACATCACAGATTACTGCTCATGCTGCCTGCTACAGTGAGTGAACAAGAAGTGATTGAATCGCAGACAGCATGGAAGCTACAGTCACTTAAAAAAACTGAATGAACCCTTCTCTTGAAGTGGGACACCACTGCCCTTCAAGACGACTATGGCAGGTGTATTTCTCAGTGTCTAATGTGGAGTTGTTTGGATGTACAGTTCTTGAGAAAGCTGCAAGCACCCACACAGGAGTCAAAGCAGTCAGTCCGTTCACAACAGGCACGTTTAAAAACAGACGCTGTGCTGTGATATCACACACTGACCCACCAGCAACTTTGGTCCTGATCTGCATGTTCTCCTGCAGGTTGGCTAAAGGCTCCAGGTACTCCTGGGCGCAGCCAGCCATGACCTCCTGCAGCTTGATGTCCACCTGGCTCAGGCGCTCCTTATACAACCTGAGGGGCAATGAAAAAGGAGAAGAAGCAAATCAGTTCATGAATTTAAACTGGCAGTTAAGTTATAACAGTGGTAATAAAAATGAAATGTGAATAAAACTCAAAGGGTCTTTAGAAAGAGAAGGTTGTGAAGAAAAGCAGAATAAAAGAGAACTGTGGAAAAAAATGATTTCCCAACTCTTACTGGTGGGCAGTACAGAGAAACGATGAATCTCTGAGCAGGATGCTGTGGCACATCTACAGCAGGAGGCTGTTTACTGAAAGGGATGGCTCAGATTTTTTGAGGAGGGGTTGTAAAAGGTACTTATCTATAGTCAGTGTAATAGAAACATGTTGACTCATCCCCAGTTTAGAGAAGCAGCAAAACATATTGTAGTCACTTAAATACAATCAATATTAATTTAAGTGTACACCATCATGAGAACTTGTATAGCTTTACCTTTCTGCAGTTACCTATCTATGCTTTTCTCAAAGCCAGACTCCATTGACAAAAGCAGTCATTTTAGCTCACTGAACACAGAAGCTGCTGCTCTACTGCTGCCTCCATCGATAGTTTGTTTGTGTTATTGTGTGACTTTGGTGAATATAAACTAACCCTTTTAAACACCAAAGTCATACAATGACACAAATCAAGTAACCAATGGAGGCAGCAGCAGACCAGTAGCTCCTGTGATCAGTGATGTTAAAATTACTGTTATTCTCAATGGAGTCTGGCTTTGATGAGTGCCACATAACGGCTTCATTGTCCTGTTGGAAATCACTGTCTGACAATAGGGTAAAGCAGTGAAAATATTCTCAACATAGTGAACACTTAAAGTGATACTGTTTTTTAGGTGGCTAAAAATGTTTTGTTACTGACCCCTTCACAGCAGTGTATTACTTAGCCTCCATGTTGGACTCCAGCCTACTTCTCCAAACTGCCGACTTCTTCCTGTATTTATATCTGTGCCTGGTAGCTTTTATAATGTGTGTTATCACTCTCATTACAACATCAGACAATAAAAACAATAAAAAATAAGACCGGTAGCTTTAATTTTACTGTCTACTGACAATGTTGTTTCTCTTATCTTTCAGTGGTAGGTCGTCTTCTCTGGTGCTTTGCTGTAACTTGTTCCGTACAATAAAGCACTCCATTGTCCCACACACAGCTTTCTCCTTTTGATTGTTATCATCCCTCATGCTGGATACCAATCAGAGATTTTTCCTACACTCAAACGGCGACAAATAGGTTCCTCATGATAGTTTTTTTAAATTAAATTTACTTAAATTTAATTTTTTTAGCTACAGTTTGCCTCATTATTAGAAAATGGGTGTGCACAACATACTGATACAGTCAATTGACCTATGGCTAAGCCACGCCCCCCTCCACTCACTCGGACAACTATCAACATTCAGTGACCGGCGCTATGGCAGGTGTCACAGTACACGGCATTTCACAGGAGGCAACTGATGATTTTTGGAGACATAATGATCAGATGTCATTGAGAAGTAACCAAAAGGGCCTAAACTACGCATTGGAGGGATATATTCATCATTTTATTGTTGAGAAGGTCGATGAAAAGCTTAAATTACAAGCCAAAATTTACAGGTCACAGTGTACGCTTGTGAACCGCATCT